ATCAGATATAGATACACCTACATATATACATTTATGCACACAAGCATGTAAACGTGTATGGATATATTTATATACATATATCTATATCTATATATCTATATATATATATGTGTATATATGTGCGTATAAATGTGTATATACATACACTTGCATAATTATACATATAAACATACAGCAACATATATAGATCCCGTGGTCCCTTGCCAGTCCCGTCCTGAACCAAGCAGCGGCGTATACGCCACGCCCTCCTGGCTCGGCCAGGAAGGCGCGCACACAGCTCCCGGGTTCAGGGTGGGCCTGGCCAAGTAGCCGTGGATCTGTACAGATTTCGTCGCCCGCCAGAGGGGGGAGCCCAGGGGGAAAGCCGAAGGAACAAACAGTGACGTAAGCATGCAGTGTCAGAGTTGTGTATACAGGGAGACGGCCGAGGGGCCGTTCCTGTATCGGGTCCGTTGGTAGGGGCTCCTTTCCCAAGGCACTGCGCAGCGAGCAGTGCTTTAAGGTTAGCTTACCAATGCCTGAGCCAATGCAGTTGCGGTAGGGATGAAATAGGGAAGTGAGCGGACTTCACACACAAGAGCTTCGCGCGGATTCCTCGGATCGGCGCTGGACCCCATCCAAAGCGGCGCCGGAGAGGCTGCCGTGGTGAACTCCAGCCCCGAGCCGAGAAATCCGCACGGAGCTCCGAAAGTGTATGCTTCTGTCATTGCTTGTTCCGCGGGAAGAGGGAAGGTGCATGCGTTCTCAGAAGGCGGCAAGGCTTTTCAGATTCCCTCGCGCCCTATGAAAAGCCGTCTGCGGCCTCGGAGAAGGCTTCCGAGGCTTCTTGGAAGGCGCGAGGGCTTCTGAGAAGTCCCGCCGCCTTCTGAGAAGGCCTGCCCCCTATCACTTCCTCACTGGGCTTGCCACCGAGTTGTGGAGCCCCTGGCTTCGGCGCCTGCGCGACAGAATGCACCGTGCAGTTGATCAGTCATCCGAAACTTGCTCTGAGCAGAGCGCATAAGCTTAGCTTCGCACCCGAAGCCACTGTCGATGAAAGCGGAGAACGGGAAGCTCTGAGTAATGCTGAGGCTGCGGAGCCTGTCGCTTAGCGGATGGCCGTCTGGGGCGAACCACGCCGGTGAGACAGGACTCCGCACGTGGCCAGTATCCGAAACCTGCTCTGAGCAGAGATGATGATCTCTGCGGTGATGATCTCTGAGGTGATGATATCTCCGATGCTAATCTGAGGTGATGGCCTCTCTTGCAGTCCCAACGTGCTGCCTCGGTTTCGGCCTCCAGGGGCCGTGTCGGACCGCAGGGCATGAACAGAAATCTGCCCAGGACGAAAGAAACCCTGGCCACGGGGGGAACCGATGCATGTGGTCCTGAGGGAAACGGGTCCTGGACTACGGGGCCTCCTCCGCGACCACCTCTGGCAGGGCAACGGGAGGCCGAAAACAGCGAAAACTCGCGGGACCCCATCTACCTCAGACCTTTCTTGCGTCGGGAACCCCTTCCTCTCCAAGGCCCCAAGGCTCCGCCCGAAACCCCTCGAAATCGATCCGTGGCCCCGTCCTGAGACGGGGTCCAACTAGAACATGTTGCGAGCTGCGTCCAGCCGTGGCCACGAGAGATCCTCAGGAGGCCCTGAAAACGCGTTGTATCAACATGCGCGTATGCATACTAACGCATGTAACACACCACAACATCCATGAACCAAAAATGCGCAATAAATATTTGCCATGTGGGCCTCGGCCCGAGGTGCTAGCTGGACGCGAACCACGCCATGGTCGCGGAATACGGTCAACCCATAGGGCAAGGATGCGCGATAAGGATGCAAGGGCCTTGGACGCCCATTTCGAAGCGTTTCGAGCGGGGCGCGGCCAACGAAAGTGTCCAAGGATGGACCCAGGAAGCAAGGATACAAGAGTACCCTTGGGAGGGATTCCTATCCTTACTCTGCGGGTCGACTGTATCCCAGGGCCTGGATCACGTCTTGGCGCTGGTGGATTCTGGTGGCATCATGATGAGCCTCGGTGGTCGACGGTGGCTCGAGTCGGTGGAGCGTGGCCTCCACCTCGTCGGCCTGAAGCCATACAGGGAGAAAGCCTCGGAAGCATGCAACGGCTTGGGCGGCGCCCAGCGACAGGAGACGGAGAAGTGGACGTTCCCCGCGGGTGTCTTCCAGGCCCACGCGATCGCGAGCTTCTATCTCATCGAGGGTGATATGATTGGTTTGTTGAGTCGACGCAATCTTGACCAATGGGCCGCCAACATGTATTTTCGCGACGACGAAACCGATGCAGACTTCGAGGCACTCTCCCTGTACGATTCGAAGCTCGATAACCTACGAAATGGACATGCAGTAATCAACCTACTTGACTTCGACATGCACACCATCGAGAACGACCTTCTGTTTGACGAATTCCGTATCCAGCCTCGTTCGAACTCAGTGATGATGTCAGCTGTCTCCCGGTATGACGACACTCAGAATGCGGAAATGGAGCGTGATAACTGGATCGAGACGGCGATCGCTACCAAGAAGGTCGGTGCTGTACCGGCGAAGGCCAAAAAGGCGATGGAGCGTTTGAGTTTGGAGCACGAGACAATTTCCTTGCTGCTGAATCGTTCCGATCATCAGGTCATGGCTTGGGAATTCTTTACGGGCGAGGCAAACTTGACGAAGATGGTGACTCGCGGAGGTGCTGTGGCAGGCGTTCCTTTGGATATCCGTACCGGTGTTGACCACGCGGACCCGGCGGTCCAGGACGCCCTTTTCAATCTGGTGAAGTTCTACAAACCATGGTTGCTGACGTTTGCTTTCCCGTGTTCTCCTTGGTCTCCGTTGGCGCAGCTGTTCTCAAAGTCTCGAACGAAAGACCTCGCGATAGAGCAGCAGGAACACGAGATGAGTTTCCTCACCTGGGTGGCGAAGATGATGCGTTTGCAGGTGCTCGAGGGCCGACTGGCCCTCGGAGAGAATCCGTGGACCTCTGGGGCGCTGAGAGCGGCCCCGATCGCCAAGCTGGTCCAGGAGGGCATGTACGAGATCGTTCGCGGCGACCAGTGCGCCTACGGCCTTGTGTCCTCGACAGGGGTCACGCACAGGAAGAACACGGGCTTCATTGTCCCTCGAGGTTCTGCGCTGCGACTGGCCCTCGGACTGTGATGCCCAGGAGACCACGAGCATCAGACCATCATCGGAGGCAAGATTAGCTCGGCAGCTGGGGTGTGGACGGAAGATCTCGGAGAAGCCATGCTTACCGGAGCGACGCGGGAGTTGGCCCGTCGGTCGGAGGTGCTACCAGTTCTCGCGGCCCAGTGTCGTGATGGCCTAGCCCTTCAGTCGCGTATTGTACATGCAATTGCAGAACAGCTCTTTCTACGACCAGAACTTGTTCAGGTCCGTCTGCTCCGTGCCGATGATCAGCGCGAAGTTTCGGGTCAAGACGTTGTCCGACGCATTGTCTGCGTGCATGCGGCCAGTGGCGAGCTCCCTGGCTTCACGGACCACTTCCTTCACGAGATCGGCTTCCACGAGAAGGACTTCCCCCTTGTGATGTACGAGGACGATATGATCCTGGAGGTCCTGGTGAATCGCGACGAAGAGGCAATCGAGGTTTTCCCAGCAGTGCAGCCCCTATTGTACTCCAGCAGTGCCTACCCCGTTCGCGCACGCGATTCCGAGAACGGCCCCGAGGAGGAGATGGTCGCTCCCGATGTCCTGCCACAAGAACATCCGAGCAAACGACGGCGCGTGGTCGAAAAGCAGGTTCCACCACCTGCATTCTCAGCACCTCCCTCCGGCGGACGCAACCAAGTTGTCTCCGAGCTGGACGCCTTGGGTCGCGACCCGCTCGGCGAGGGCAACATCCTGCGACATTTCGGTCCGCGTCCCCACGGTATCACGGCAGCACGATGGGGAGCTTTGCAGCTACTTCACACCCGTCTCTGCCATGCTCCTACTAATTACATGAAAACATACCTGATGCGCTGGTCTGTGCCCCGCAATATTATTGATACTCTTGACAAGATGCAGTGTTTTATATGTGCAGAGGTGTCCCGCCCATCTTCACATCGCGTTGGAGCCATCATTCATTCGACCACTTTCAACGAGAACGTCTTCATGGACGAATTCGAAGTTGTGTTGACGGATGACATCCGCGTGGTGCTGGTTCTCAGCATTTGCGACGCTAGCAGTTTCCGCGTGGCGATGCCAACCCCAGCGGTGAGGAATGCAGGTACCCATGTTGTGCGTACGGCCTTTGACCACGGCTGGTTCAGCTGGGCCGGTCCACCAGACAAGATCTTCTACGACAAGACGAAAGGGCACATCGCCGAACAGTTTGCCTCGTTCGGAGAGCAGCACGGCACAGTCACGGTTCCCATCCCCGCGGAGGCGTTTTACATGAAAGGGCGCGTGGAGCGCGCAGTGGACTTCTGGAAGAGCCTGTTTGTGAAGGTAAACCAGCAGTGCCGGATCACAGTCGAGGACGATTCCTATCTTTGGAGTTCCCGATTCACATGGGCGTGCAACACTCACTTGCGCAAGAGCGGTTTCTCACCATATCATTATGTCTTTGGCCGCAATCCTCGGGTTCCTACTTCCATCACCGAGACGCTGGAGAATGGGTCTACCAATTTAACTGCACACTGGTGGGCGCTACAAGATTCAGGAGCCCGTCGCGCTGAACAGGTGCGCGCTGCGGCCTTAAGGGCCTTCTTCGAGATCGACTCAGACGAAGAAGCGCGGCGAGCCCTTGCCGCGCGGAGCCGGCCATTCAAGGGGCCATATCAGCCTGGGCAGATTGTCTATTGGTAGCGTACTCAGGGTACGCGAACCATGTCCAAATGGCTACATCAAAGCTCAAGGTGGCGTGGCCCGGCAATCGTATTGAACTGGAAGGCCTCACCGAGTGTCACATTTCGTATCGTGGCGTTGCGGTGCTGGCATCGCTGGAACAACTACGTTTGGCATCCAATGATGAACTCGCTTTTGCTGAACAACGAAATCTGCT